TCTGCAATAAGTAATATTTTTGTATAGTTACATAATTTAAATACTAAAATACTGAAATATTGACTTACTGCCCAGACACAATAGCTGGTTTAACTTATTGAGAAGGCATCGATTGTTACTTGTTAGTAACTATCGCGAAATTGACAGTTTAACAACCCAGTTACGAATTTAACTACTAATAATAATTGACGGGTTACGAGTGTTTATTATTATGTTTGCGGAAAAAAAAAAATAATAAACTTCTACGATCGCTTGATGTACAATGTAATATCTTAAGTATGTTGAATGTTCGTCGTCGTCGGTGTACAGTACACTACTGCAACTGCAGCATGAAGACGCGTGACAATATAACAACAGTATAATAGATATCCCAAAGACGGTGTTTTATAATAACGAAGACAATCAATAATCGATTATATTACTACTACTACTAATAATAATAATAATAATATTGTATCATACAGTTTTTTCACTTCAACGTTTTTGAAACATGTGCTCAGTGTAATAGTGCGTGTGCGCGTGTGTGTGTGCATACGAGTTGATTGCCCTCGATAATACCGTTATGTGAACTACTGACATTCTTCCATCGAATCACAGCCGCCACAGACTACCAGCCCTATTCCGTGCTCTTCCGTTATCGTAAATCGTAATTCGTAGATTAATATTTTTAAAACAATAAGCCAACCTGCGACGATTAAACTCGTATGACTACACACGACGTACCTAAGTGGATAAAATTTATAATACTTTTTTACGTACGTTCCGTAGAACTCGATCACAGACGAGCGCACAAATAACAAACACGAGATTTTACACTGCCTTTAGCTGATACAATTATTGGTAGGTAGTATCGTGGCAATGACAACGACGACAATAGTATGATGGAAGATCCGGGATCTTCGCTATTATAGCGGCACCTGAGCTATATCGGAAACTGCGTATCCATCACGTAGACGTCAGTCTTCCTTACAACCGATTTGGGTAAACCCGATCGACGAAAAAATGTATTTTTTCGATGTTACTTTTTCCGAAATATTTACATTTTCGATCGAAATTCTGTCAATGTAACATAATAATGGAATAGACTATAAATATAATATCTAATATAAATATTAGGCTAAATATGTCGGTCCAATAAAATTTTATTCATAGACTCGAACTCACATTATTCTCTAATATCCGTGCTGGTTTCTATATTTGTTTGCATGTAAGTACTTGCCAGACTACTCCAATCACAAAAAATTATCGAATAAAAATTACTTTTATATGGCTTCGATTAGTATTAAGTGTTGTTCATTTCAAACAATTCAAATCAAATCTCGATTAATAGAGGCTAAATCATACATAATAACTTAAAATATTGTTTCTCCTCACTGAATACAAAAACTCCTGCGCTATAAAATTCGTCTAATTTTAATCAAGATTTATCACCTCAAAACAAATTAATACAGATATGCATAAATTTTTTTACTTATATTATAAATATGACATGCTAATAGTAAAATGTAAAATAACTGCACCTATAAGCTATAGGTTTTTATACATATGTAGATATGTATAATTATATTATACGGTCAATGTCGTACTTTTCAAATATTTGAATACAATTAAGTTACATAAGTTAAGTATTAATGTCTATTTGATTTTATATTTAAAAATATTAATTACTAATAAAAATCACAAACGTATACTTTTGATGAATTCTATAAGGATTGCGTATTTGTCAAAAAAAATTTTAACTATCGAGTATAAAAGCAAATGCAGAATTGGATTATATTTTAAACAAATAGTTATGTTTAAGGCTTTTTAAATCATCAACGTTTAAAAAATTCACAAGCCATGTTTTTAATTTTATTTATTCTTTTGGTTAGAATTTAAGCAAAATTTATTTTTAAGTACTGAATAAAATAGGTAATTTATAATTTACCTAAAAATAACACTTATAACAAAGCATTGTTATAAAAAGAAATACAAATCTATAAAAATGTAGAAAAAATCACAAAAAAAAAAATTTCCAGCCCTAAGAACATGTATATGTTTGTCGTATGTAATATACTGCACCATTTTTATATTCTTCTTCGTATCTACTAAGCCATTCTTACTGAGTCAATAACGAAAATATTTAGAATTTATCTTAAAAAATGTCTAATTCTATTTAAAAAAATATAATTCCATAATTTATGTGATCGGATTTGACAAACATCTTAACTGTATGAGATAAAAGTTCAAAAATTTAGTTCGTGATGTAGGTATATAATACATACATGATAGATTTTTTTTTTTTTTGATTATATGATCTTATTTGACTGATTCAAATTGACACAGCATTCGATTTTTACGTATTTATTCAATGATATTTTATACTAGATAATACACATATATATATATGTGTGTGTGTATTATTTGTACATTTACGATCGTATATATTTATTCATATTTTAATTAAATTATTCAATTAATGCTGTAAACTTCGTCGTATAATGTAAAAAAACGTGCAATAAGCCGGTTACAACAACAATAATAATTTATCTTAATTTTGGACCCAAAATTATTCTATAGGTACAGACAAGTACCTATTAAATAATTTATTTTAGCTCTTATTGGAAATTATACTTCAATAATCTATAATTTAAGTATTTAAAATATATTAAAATAAATACCCATTTGAAATATATTTATTTCAAAAGTATTTTTAACAAATTATAAAAAAAAATTTTAATACTTATGATATAAACATAAACAATTATTTTTATTAATTTTATCGAATTGTTTTAGATTTTGAGTAAACAAACTTATAAATTCTGGTGAAACAAAATTTAATAACAAAAATCTTTAGATGTTTAATAGTGGCATAAGTATATCAAATTGAAACGTAATATGGAATTTAAATATATATTTATTTTTCAAATATAGCATATTAAAATAAAGACTTTTGCTATCTTCAAATACCCATGTCATAATTAGTGTAACGTTATACATTATCTGACTATGTCTAAGTATTATGCATCTTTAGTATATTTTGAAAACCTATTAACTAGTTCGTCATGATGTACCATCAAGACATAATATCTACTAGTGAAACGAAAAACAAATTATTAATTATATAGACGTGCAAAAACTGAATAATAAAACGATTTCACTAGACTTTTGAAATAAATTATGAACACGTCTCCATACAAGCTAAGTATGTTCAAAAATCAATGTTATATTATATTATGATTAAACGCTCTTGTTGCTAAAAAAAAAACTGATTTGATAAATAAAACGCATCTAAAAGCAATATTCGTTATAAACCATTAATTTCATGATTAGTTTTTATGATTCATTAAAATTACTATTAATATAATTACCTAACTAATTACAAAAACATTAGCTTTTTATGCGCATATATAATTTATACTCATTCAGAATCTAATTTCCATGAATTTTCGTTGTGTTATCAAGTTATTACTAACTAAAAGTAAACCTTTTACCATCAAAAGGATGACACTTACGTGAGAATAACGGCCACACGACATCTATAAAAGCCATAATACGAAATAATTTATTTTAAATTAATATTTTTTTATTATAAAAAATTATTTGGATTAAAATAATAAATAATTAATCAACCAAGTGATCACCTTTTTTCGGAAAGAGGTGATTATTTCACTCATCAAATACGAAAGTTTCCAAAAAAAACTCCTTACTACATCACTGTTTTTAATCCTTATAATTGTATAGGTTGTCTACATCTTACACGTATATAATAGTATTATCTAAAATAACCTGCTTTACAGCACAGTTACTTCTCCGGGTTTTTTTTATATATTTACTTATTATTATGATTATATTATATGTTTATAATACTATAAGTAATAAAAAATTATTAATTCATAATAATAAATAAGCAACTCATCGTTAGATTTAAGAAGTTTCGCGTATACATACACAATTTTTTTTACGTTTCCTTCAAATAATATGATAATTTGTATTTTATTATATCCATTATTAAAATAAAATGTTAAGAAAATAGTCGAAAAATTTATAATTATAAAGTTTATTCAATATCGGGGACTCATCTAATATCGTAGTGGGTATAAACGTACTTCTTAAGAGTATTGCCATAACTGAGTTCGTTTTAGCGATCGATAACAATAACTATTTGTGACTTTCAAAGCATTCTTTGAACAAGGAAGTGTTCATAAACAAAAAACAACATTGTAAAATAAATATTACATTCTTCATTTTATTCAAAGTTTGAAATTGAATACTGATGGATGGCGAAAGATGTCACTGCATAACAATATAATTATTGAATACGGCCTTCTAACGACTACTTTATACCAATAAAATTCTAAAAGATTGGTAATTTATATTAGTGCATTATATGTATGTGTAAAATAAATTATAATAAAACAATTCATGAAATATCTACATGTGTACCTAATATGTAATATGCCAATCTTAATAATATGAAAATTCCTAAAATATATAATATAATTTAAGTTATTAAAGTAAATAGATATTGGTTTATGAATATAGTAAAATTTTAAATCTAAAAATCCATTAAAGTTGGTGTGAAAAAAAATTATTCTTATGACATATTATAGATTTATACATCCGCTGTTATCCATTTAGTTTTTAACAATAAATCCATGGTAAAAATACAACTAATATTTTAAAAAAAATTTAACTCTTTCATAATTATTCGACAAAGGTGTTCTTTTATGTGAGTTTTAATTCTTAACGAAATCACTTAAAATACACATAAATAATAATTAAAAAATAATATAATGTAAAGATGATATTTATTGTAAAAATATTATATCACGAGTAGTGAATTATAAAAGATTAAATAAGACTATAAGAGTTAAATTATACATTTTATAACAATAAAAATCATATAACCAAGTCTTAAAATACACATAAGTGTCATAATATTACAGTGTTATAAAATTATTATACATGTAAACTGTAAAAAAATTGATTTTTGGCAAACAAAAAAAAAATCTTAGTATTAGGTATATCTTTATATTATCTAAGATAAATAAAAATAAATCATATTTTTGATGGCATGGGAAATTTGCTTCAAAAAAGCCCAAATTTCTTTTATGACATAATATATTACAATTAACGTAAATGAGTTTTTTTTTTTAAGTAATGATATAAATATAGTTATTCACAAAATTAGTCTAAAAAAAGTCCTTAACTACCTTAACTACGAGAAAGTGAAACATATCTTCACATGCAATTGTATTTTTTTCTTTTTATGATAACAGTAATTTAATTACTGAAGAAAGTATCTGCGGGAACGTGAGTCAGTAACTGATTGACTATCCTCTTGAAAATTGCTGCCAATTTTGTTCGTAGTTGAGGCATCATTACTTGTAACACTTCCTGACCATTTTCACGCAAAAATAAGTTTGTAGCTTCAACTAAAAAAAATTAAACAAACATTAAATTGAGTTTAATATAATTAAATTGTTTTAACAATAAATAGTATTTATTCATTTTTAATTTATCTAAAATTTATCTTAAAATAAAATGGGTTATAAATCATTACATACAAGTATCTATATAAAATAACTCATATCTCATTATATTTGAAAATATAATTGATTCATTTAACTTATTTTCTTTTTAATTAATATAAAATTTATATAAATAAATATTTAATTTTATGCTTGATTTAGTATTTTGGTGTATTAATTTGTAGTTACAATATAATGTATGAATTAAATAAATATTTAAATTTTAGCGCAAACATAATATATTATAATTGTATAGTATCTATTTATTATAACATTTAACAAAATACTGATTTCTTATATTTCTAAGTACTTATATCTATAGTAAGTATTTTTTACACTTACCAATTATCCTATTGTTATTGACTCTGCTTACAACCATGTATGCTTTTTTTATGACTAAATCTACTTCCAAGAAGTCTAAATTGTAATATTTTTCGGAATCTTTGTAATAACTGGACAAAATTCCTTTTGCTGTAATGGTAACATCACCTAAAATAATACATTAAATTATAATGCAATCATAATAATTATTATAGTCATAATATTTAATAAAAATGAACAAGTATTATTCAGACCCATGTGTAAATCAAATAGGAAATGTCTTATTCAATTATAAAAATATTGTCTTATATTATTGGTATTTGAATAAAAAATATTTGGTGTAATATATTTAGAATAATATACGTATTAACATAATTTATTAATATCTTTCAACAAATTTTTTTTGAATAGTACACTTTCAATATTTATTAAGTAGTAAAAATGAATTAATAAATTAATTTCATGGTTTATGGGAATTATTGAATACCTATGAAAGGTACATATCATTTACTAGGAATGAGAGCAAACAACTAGCTAAACAATATTGCAAACTATTTATATGATTGAAAAACAATAAATGAAAATATTGTATTAAAATAAAATATTTATTTTATTTTTTTTTGTTTTTTTATTAAATACTATGTAGAAAATTAGGTTAGGTTAAGCTAGGTTTAAAATTACATCAAATATCACACTTGGTGTATAAGAAAATCCAATTTAAAATACTAAAATTTTCAAAATAGTATTATTCATTAAACAAAAAACATTTATGAAATAAAATAAAAGATTCAAACCTAAATCTGCGTGGAAAGATCCATTTCCGTTAGCAGGCAGTACTAACAACACTCCAGTACTTGCATATTTGGCATCCATTGTCATTTTTGGAATTCTGACTTTACCTTCAAATGGTGCATTTGGACGCAATCTAAATTAAAATAAATAGTTTCATGAATGGTTATGAGTTATGAGCTATGATGGATGATACCAACTACGGATCATTATTTGGTGCCTACAAAATCGAAAAAACTATTTTTGATCTACCATAACATGGCAGTAGCAAAATTGCATATACATCACGCCTTATTCACAATATTATTGTAAACCATAAAGTTAATTTTAAAATTAAATTAAATACCTTACTAATTTATAAATCAATATTAATTTGACAATTCAATAATAAAAAAAAAAACATTAATCATTTTTAGTTGTGAAATTTCAAATATCGTGTAACCTAACCTTATAAAACGTAGCGTTCAAAAACATAATTTTGCTGACCAAGTGCTTAAGTAGTCAAAAATATATATGAAAATTAAAATTAATTAAAACATAACTATTTATTAATAATGATATGAATAAACTACGTAAAGCTATTTTTATCGAAGAAAAAATAAACAAATATAAAATACAGCATTCGGCTATATGTTTATAGTTTTAAATTTAGGTACCTCATTTTACAGGTTAAGTCAATATAGATAAATTTTGTTTTGTGGATAAAAACGAACAAGATAGGCAATTATATTGTAGACTAGTAACAAAACTTGGTGTAAGTATTTTGAAGTATAATAACTTCATAATCAAATCGGTTTAGATGTTCCTCCGCCCGAAAGAAAATAAATAACAAATGTAAACACAAATTTATAACATGTTCAAATGGTTGATTCCGTTGAAAAACGTTTTTCCTACAGTGACATGTGTTCTTCAGAAAATGTATGAAAATATACTCGATGGTTTTATCCTATTCTTATTAGTAAGTCTTGAAACTACTAATGAAAAAAATACCCATTTCAATTTTATGAGTTGAATTTTCTGAAACTATTTTTAATACTAGCCTAAAATTTATTACAAAAAAAAATCTCTGTGAAAAATTACAAGTTTCTAGATTCAGTGGTTTGGATAGTGCATTAATATTTAAATCAATCAGTTAATTTAATAAATTATAGTAAAAATAAATTATATATTTATTTATTATTGTATACTTATTGAATAATTTTATAAGAACTATTCATCTAAATTTCCAATTTTAATTATACAGAATTTTATAAATAAGTTATAACCAATTAGTTATTCATTATACAAGCATTAAATAACATTTCAAAAATAATAATAATGGAACTAATTTAGTTAGCTATATAAGAATCATAACCGAAAGTTGTTAAAATTTAAAACAATATAATAATTATACTGCAATTATGAACAGGTTGATGCAAAGGTTAAGTAAATAAGAATGACTATTGAAAAAATATTCTACAAGCACAAAAAACCATTGTTTAAAAATTATATTAAGTTTATTTTTTTTTTTTTTAATTAATAATTATTCAATTGCTTAACTTGTCAGATTGATTAAATAAATAAATACAAATCATGGTCAAATAAAAAATAAAAATTAGGCAAATCGCTCTGATGTATAGTTTGTATTTGGTTTTGAATGTATCTCGTCATTGGATGTGTTAAATTGCAATTCAATGATAAATTATTACACACTAAAAAATATTCCTATTAAAAATGGTGTACTATAACCTCTAGTTCTCAGGGTATTTTAAAATGTATTTATATAACTATCAATAATTTATATTTTTATTTTAGTAATACAGTACTATTTAAACTAATTTTTGCCAAAAACATTAAATACGTTTTATTTGATAATATTATATAACATTATATCATTGTAATTAACTTATAAACCAATACTATATATGTACCATAAAATGGCATAATAAATAGCTGAAAATCAGCCAAATAATTAAACAATTTTAATTTTGAGTAGAATATTTAAAAATATGGTATTTATTATTTTTACAAATTCTAAAAAAACAACAGAATTTGAATAAATTTATTCTATAAGGAAAAAATAGGGGTGAGTATGTTTGGTGAATCACTCTGTGTATACTCATTATTAAAGTTAGATTGAATCATTATTTTTTAATTAAAGAAAATATTATTTATTCTTATTTTTACCACACTATGTTTTTTGATCGATATGCCAATTTAACTTTCCCTCTTGGCTCTAAAAATTCACTTCAACTATAAGAATACTTTATTAATAATCTAAGACTATAATAGTTAAACTTACAACACTTTTTGAATAGAGAAATTGCTAGCTCCAAACAAATCAATATCCCTCAACGTTATTTTGTAGCCATTAGATCCACCGGTAATTGCTAAACTCAAAGAATCCATCCTGAAAGGTTCCACGGGCGGTAGTTCAATTTCATCGATTCCTATAAACAAAATATGTTATTTTCAAGTCCATCTAACTAAAAATTAACTAAATAATAAATCTTAATTTATATTGTACCTATTTATACAAACATTTTTTTTTTAGTTCAATATTTAAAGATTGTAACATACGTAAATTAATATATTTATTATAATATTTAAAATTAATAATAATGAAACAGTTTTAATATAATTTAAGCAGAAAGTAAACAGCTGAAATATACAGGAAAATTAATTAAATAAACTTATTAGATAGGTAAATATCGCAATCTTAATTATTAAAAATAATAATACTACTTATGGTATATAACTTTGTATAGTACCATGGTGAGGACAAAAATTAATAAAATAAGATCTGGAAGTAATTTAAATAGCAATTTGCTGATATATCATTACTGAAATTATCGGTTATAATATAATACAATTATTTGTTAGCGATAAAGGCATATAAGAAGGTCTAATGTGACCTGGTGTGGCGTGGTGGCTGGCCTCAGTCACTAATGTGTTCTGAGGTCAAGCATCAGCCGGCATCGCTAGCTCTCGGATGGGTGACCATCCGAGTTCTTAGTGACGAATCAATGGCGCACACACATACACACATGTATTCTCAACCTACTAAATAAACCTTACAAACAAAAAAAAAACTTTACACAAAAAAAACCTACTGTTCCTATCCACAGCTAATGGCCTTAGTTGCCGGGCTTGTAAAATCAATAAAAAAAAGAAGGTCTAATCTGGAGAGGAAGTGAACTAAAAAAATATTACATGTGTTTTTTATTTAGAATGTAATTATTTGGCTGATTGGTATTATACTGCTTGAAATGAGATTTGTACGTCAGGCATCCCGTATAGTTGAAGGTATAATTTGCTCCCTTACAATAGGACACACTTGGTAGGGCTAGTTTTATCTTTCGTGTATATTTTGGAATTGTAATTAAACCTAACCTAACTTGGCTCAATAGAAGGATGATGAAAACATGTGTGATGTGTTCATATCCCTTGTAGTTATAGTATTATAGTGCTTCGCAGTTATTTTTGTAAAATATTTCTTCTTTAACCATGAAGTATAGTAACAAATTTAGATTGAAAATATATTTTTATTATTGTCAACTTTGAGGTCTACAAAAATACATAATATAAAGAGCAGATGCTTATTATTATTAACGCTCGCGACACGTCGAATATAATCACTTAGGACCTCAGTAATGTCGGAGATGAATGTTAGATGGTGAATACTTTTAATAATTACTCTCAATGGCTTATTCATTGATATCTGGTATAAGAAGAATCTGGCATTTGTTTCAGACAAGTGATATGCAATTTAAATATTATGATTTTAGCGTCCATGAAGGCGAATAACCAGATATATGACGATGTAGACTTGTGCGAAAAACCACTGTTTTCGATGATACAGATCAACGTGTTTTTTAATGCAGAGTATTTCTAAATATTTCTCACGTGGATTGTCGGAGTCCAGAAAATGACTGTATACTTGTTCGAAATTTTTTAATTTGGTTCAATGAGTTGGATACCCGTGATGTTGAGTTTAAGTGGATTATCCTTGTCGTTAGGTAATGTAATAAAATGAATGGTCGAGCAAAAAAATTTAGTTTTTTTTTTTTATTGCGTATCAGCGAATTTAGAAATAATAGAAGCATCCGTTTGGGTTTAGTATTTTGAGAATACGGATATATTAAATTGCTTATGTCCAAAGTTGGCGTATTCGCAATGAATATAGATATGCCATCATTGCCATCTAAAATCACGATAACGCAACGAACATTTTGGTTATCACAACATACGTATGATCATATTGTGGGTAAACCGGTAAACGTTGTACGATGTATGACATATGAATATTCTAATACATATGAAACATTCTTCAGATCAAATTTTAAATTTATCATATTACGTTTATTTTAATGACAGTATACAACAATATATTTATTAAAGATTAGTTATATAAAAAAAAATATTGTTATACACTGTAATATCGTATTACAAACTAAGTATAATGAAATAGTTATACAAATTAAATTTTATTATATCTACCTATATTCAAAATATTATTGTTAACATATTTTAATTGTTAATACTAATATTTTAAAATAATATAAATCATGTGTTTTTGGTTTTCTACATATAATACTAATAGTTAAAAGTTACTTTCATGTAAGTTTTTTAACCTTTAGGTAAACTTACATAATATATTTTTAAATAAGAGGAAAATAGATAAAATATACAGTAGGTGTCAAGTGTACCTCATCAATAAATAAGTCACTGACATGAATGCGTTAAGTTAGAATTCCAAAAACAATTCTGAACGAAGACGATCTATATAAGCTTATAAATTTATTAACATAAAATTAATAACTAATAAATATATTTTATTAAAGTTAGATATATTTTTATGCTGCTATGTCATAGTAATTTTATTTTACTATTAGTAATACGATGAGATGAAAAAATGTCCGTTATTTTATCATTAAAATTGAATTATTATATAGAACCTACGTGTTCATAAGATAAATTATTTTTACTAATTTATGAGTCAATATTGACTTGCTATAGAATAATGTGAATAAGTTCGTGGTATAAATATATGCAATAGCATAAAATTACTGTAAAACTCTAAATTAAAAAAAGATGTTATTTTGTAAATAAAACATAATAATTTCGTAAAAGTTTCAAATCACTATTTGTTCTTCTTTGTTTATGGTGTTTATACATTTTATTTTATTTTTCTAAATTTTTTTTGTTTTTCTCAATTATTAAAAAATTACAGGGATTTATTTTTTTGACCCTCACAACTAAATCAACTAAATTTACTTTTCAACTAGAAAAAAATGTTGAGATTAAAAATCTAATCATTTTTACTGTTTCAAAAAGGTGATAAGTAATGAATAACAAAAGAAAAAACATTACATGCTAATGTAAAATCAATAAAATATTCATCGTTCTTCTCAGAATATAAAATAAAAATAGTAATAAAATATTGTTCTATTAATATTGTTAAAGTGTTTATAGCTATTGAATATTTTATCCAGTCGTTGCGAATGTTATGTCAGCTAAGACTTTGTACGATTTCCGTTTACTATAATGTTTATAGTTTTGAAATGAAAATCACTGTTATTATTTATAATTTTTGGTGCATGCATTAAGAATTTTTTTTTAAGTATAAATAATAAATTACTATAATTGTTAAGGACGAGCGAGCAATTTTTTCCTTATTAAAGGAAATGCATGCAATGTATACTTAACGAAAAATATTACAAGTTATCATTGTAATTTTAGATGAAAAAAAAAACGAATGTTATAATAACATAATAACTCTCTGCAATACCACGATGACGGTAGTAGTAAGTAGTAACACGACATTGACCGCATTTCTCGCGTTACGTCATAATAATAATTGTACGATCGAATCATGAGTGGATGACCCGTATATCGTCTCCAGGGCCCAATACGGCGGCTGATTTAATAAAATAATATATAATAATAAAATATGGGATATAGACACACTATATTGATCGCATAAACAATACGCATACAGTAATTATCGTCTATATGGTATTGTGATTACGTGTATAAAATATGTATGAATTGTTATGAAAATCGTGGGAACGTAGTAATATATACATATAGACATTTCAAATAATATCACTCACCTTCTTTCAAGTACGGTCTTAAATGATTGATTTCCGCTGCGAGACATTCATTGAGCTTTGGGTCGTTTCGTATGCATTGTTTTATGTAGGGTGCTGTAAAATATTATAAACACATTAAAATATTTCTATCATCGTTATAAACTCTAATATTTTATATAATCAATGGTTGTGTCTATGTATGAGTATACCCATTATGCCCATGCCTCTCGACTTATAATGCCTATAATATAATATATCTTACGTGAAGAACAATGTGTTGTTGTTACATCGACAAAATATAAATTTTGAAACAAAAGATAAGAATAATAATGATAATATTTTTTTTACTCTAATTTTCAAACATTTATTAGTTTTTATATTTTGACTAAGTACACAACAAAGCTTATTTACGGAAAACTCGTGTTCGCATTTAATTTATATTTGTTTTTTCACTCTTTACGATATTGTTAATTTATTCGCAATTGTATATAGATCGTAGTTTATAACTTTTTAATAACAGCTTTATTTATTCTATCTCAAAATATGAAATAATAATAATATGTCTACACTGACTATACTTATTACTTATGGTAAAGAAAAAATTAATTCACCAAGTACCTACCTATAATTTAGATAACATTATCTATAAAACACACAATAACATCAAACAAAAATATAATGTTATAACCAAACGTATTTTCATAAATCAAGAAATTCGTTACTATTAATTTAACTGTTTAGAATTCAAAAATTATTAAAAAATAATAATTAGATAAACTTTAAAACATACCTCATAATGCACCAAAAAAACAAAAAACTATGAAAAACTTAGATAAATTTCGTTATTTTTAATATTTTGTTTGGAAATTATTAAATTTTTATGAAATATAATGTTTAATTATTTTTTTACATATCTATTTCTAATCAAGGCAATAAAAAAAAAATAAATAAATTTATCGTAATATCTAATATTATTTATGATACAAAAGTATTTATCAAAAAAATAAACATGGTCAATAATCATTAATACATGTACCTGTACTATTTCATAATTTTATTTTAATTATTAGAGATAAAATTAAAAAATGATCTTATTTACTCATAGAAAAAAAAAACATAATACATAAATATTAAATATAAGATAAATTATAACACATAAATTTAATAAACAGAACTATCTTAGACTTGGTTAGATTGAATAATAAAATGATAATAAAATACTTTTTAAAAAGCATTATTCTGTGTTATTATATTATATACCTATTGTATTATAAATTTGTACTATTGTATTGTATTATATTGCATGGAATTTTGAATGTACATCCATAATTTGCTTTGTACCAACTATCAAGTATCATCAGAATACACAATAAGATGTTTATTTTTTAATCGTTCAAGGATTAATTCTATAAGCCGTTGATAATCGTATTTTCAAAAATAAAAATTATTGAATTGTATTATGAAGGTGATAATATCCGTCTTCACTTTTTAATGTAAGCCGACAACTACACATGAAATAATTCGTAGTTTATACTTGTTCGATTGGTAACTCTATTGCTCGAGAAATTTAATTTAAAAAAAAAAAAAAAAACGCGATCGTCATCATAATTTTAAATCATAACATTATATCGTAATATATAGAACACAACATTCACGACGTCTTTAACACTGGGAGTTTTGGCTGGAGAATTATATTTTTAACAAGAAAGTAATTTCGTAAAACTACATACGACGCGTAATATTTATAATAATAATTATAACATTATACTTGTACGGATAAACACCGTCGACCTTCACATGGCGGTACGCACATACAGTTTCGATGTCTCGTAATATACATACCATATACTTCCACCGATACAATTTATTATTACTGATTATCGATATGCGCGCGGTGTAGCGGTATTGCATAAAACGTAAAAGAATATAATATATTTATAAAATATATTATATACCTACCTACATAATAAACAAACAACAAATTCTGTACACCTGTGCACGGAGAGTTTCTTCATCAAACGTCTTTTTTTTTCTGGTTTCACAAGTTCTACGATATTATTGCCCCCATCGCTACGTGGACAGGAATTATACAGGATATTATATTACATTATACCTACCATTATAACCCGATAACCGTATAGTGACTGAGCAGTAAGTATATTAAATCGTATGTAGGCACAGAGTGATTCGCCGAGCATATGTACAGCCCACATTGTATCATTTAAGTATTTATTTCACTTCTTTGGAATTATTTAAAATCATAATTTTAAATACCTACATTAATTTATCATGCCATCATTATAAATGAAATATAAAATATATGTCGTGGGTATTTACTTTTCAGTATAGTTCTTATTACCTAATGCTCATTTTCGACCAAATTTTTAATTTTTTTTTTTTAAATTGTAAAGGATTGACAATTATTACAACAAGATATGTCAATGTATTGACAAATAATTACTATATTTTTTAAATCCTTGTTATAGTTCCCATATCTACTAAACATATTATTATTGATTATTATTTACCATCGTGATTACTTATTAGAAAGTTTAAGAATCCAGAAAATTTTTGTTTAAATTTCGATTCGAATACATCAACAATGAAAAAAAAATATAATTTTTTAATGTTCACATACCTAGTTAATAGTTAAAAAAAAATGTGGTTCTCATAAGAAAAAAAGAATTTAGTATCGTTCAGTAATCTCAGAGTTTGAAAATATGGTCTTTGAGTATAGTCGAGAGTTCCGAAAATCAGAATTTAAATAAACGCATAATTAGTAGACAAAATGTGGTTGAACATGTACACTTAACCGATTTGTATAGTGTATACATATTATCATACTTGTTGCCAGCTGCATCTTCGATTAAATTGAAAATCATTATTATCGAACTGGCGCTGTAGAGTTCTGTTGCAGTGTACTTATCCATAATAGTATATTATAGTGTGATGGTATTCATAATATAATCCATTTGAAAACATTCTTATCGTGAAGGGCTATTAGCCAACTTCGGGTCGAGCACCAGGTCGGTACCTGCATGCATAGGTGCGTCTCGTGGATGATGCAACGCCGACGGTGACTGTGACTATACCAACGGCAGTACCGGTCCTCCACAGCAATTCAATCAGGTCGATTCAAACATGCGACCGGTTTTTCATTCGATCCATTATTATTATTATTTTTATTATTATTATAACTATTTTTTCACTGTCATTATAATTAACATTTTTCATCGTCTTGTAAAATATGTTTAATAGCATACCTATTAGATAATACTGTGACAGAAAATTTTGTATTCTCGAATCAAATATTTGTAAAACAAAATTGAAAATCTAAAAAAAAATGTGAAAAATTGTGACAAATGGTCAAAAAATTGAACTAAAACCTTTAAGTGGTCAATAAAAGTTTGCAGATTGATTTATCTGAAATCGGAAATTCACCTGCTTTTCAAAAAATCTTGCAACAAAAATAATAATAATACATCCATATAATAAATCACATATTTCAGTTTATGTGTTAAATTGTTTAGTTTGTGAAATACGGTAATCCATAAACTGTGCAACTGCTATAGTTATACTGCTTTACGGTATTATATAATTATTCGTATCAGCGACCTGATTAATTACACTAAACTTCAACATCTATGTATTACTGCGGGTTTATATAAAACTGTTTACAAAATGTATTACAAAATATTTTGATTTCCATATGATATGTATTATGGAATATTGAATATTATATTATTGGTGAAACAGCAATATATATATATATATATATATATATATGTATGTATGTATAATGTTAATGCAACACGTTTTATCAGTCATCTATGAAGTCGTCATAGAATAATTGTATTATGGATTGCGATTTTCTTGAACAGCAGTTATTACCCGCTGTTCGCAATAGTTGTAATTCGTAATACTATGAAAGTATTAAACTATGTGAAAATCGAAAGGATAAATTAAACTAAGATAAACGTAGTAAATGTAATGCTTATACTCCATACACTATAAAAACCCAGAAATTTAATATTTTGTCAAGTATTCAGGCACATAGAGGAATTAAGATATACAACTTACATACCATAATATACTATACGAAATGTATGCTGATTGCAGATATCCGAAAAATAATATCCCTGTTGTAATAATTAATAATAATTGTACATGTCACCCAATCGACATTTTTTGGCCAACACGTGATGATAATAACGAATTTCGATTAAAATTAGTTTTTTCTCTTTATCTTTAAATTTCAATTAACGTAATAATTACTATGATTCGTGTAAAATGTTGTGTCTAATCTCAAAAACAACTACTGCAGTAGTATTATCTGCTTACAAACATATTATTGTACATACCTAATTGTTTTTAATAGCTTTGAAATCATAAGAAAACACAAAAGGGTGTATAATAATTAAATTAAGATAAACAGAGTAAATACAACTATGACAAGACATTTACAAAAAAAAAAACAAACTATTAATTATTTAATAGTAAAATAATAAATTTTTTATTATCGTGTCAATCTATTTGTACAGCAAATTACCCGTAACACACTAACATGGACTGCGTAGACATTCTGTAAAAATGAATAGGTACAGTCGGTAGAAAGATATCTATAATCTGACAGAATATGGTGTTGCAGTTTTATTTAATATGCATAACACATCAGAAAATAATAATAAGTATTTTAATTTGTAATAATATTTTGCATTTCATGCATTGTTTTTAAAAAAAAATAAAACACTTATATAAAAATTATAATGAATAATGATTTTTTTTACTATCTTTAAATTTTTAATTTGTACAGTTCAATAATGAACATAATATAGTTAATTTATAATATTTCATACATTTTTCTATTCAAGTAAAATATACATACATCATAGGTATTTGTTAAGAATTAACTTCAAGTATTATTTAATATGTTTACAAATTGTAAAATATTAATAAGATCAAACATTTTTGTACTTCATAAATTAAACAGACAGCAGTTTCATATTTGCAAGGGTGTGATCGACACACACATATATACATATAATGAAGTTTATGATCATAGACAAATCAAAACTGTGTATTAAAACTTTTTCCAAATTTTAAACATATCAACCGTATATTTTTAAAAAGTACTATGACTATGCCAATAAGAGATATTTTAATTATCTATAACACTTGAATTACATTTGGGGTTTGTTCCACATTTTGCACTCGTGGGTGGTGTATGACTATGTAACGAGCATAATAATATGACCCACTTGTTGTTTTTCCACTCTCACTGAACCATCGTCGCGTCACTATAAACAGTTGACGAAAACAGGTTTTTGTGCAGAAAAGTAAAAACAACGGTAAATCACTACAGAACTCTTTTACTGATCGAAAAACAATATATAACATATTATTTACTAATATTAGACTTACGTATGACTTTTGATTTTTCCGCTTGAACGTACACTATGGCGACGGCCACGATGATAATTGTCTGCAGGTAGTCGTTCATTATTGAACAGTAATCGATACAAGTGTAGGTGGTACACGACTGAGGAGGGTCTTAGTTGTTGTTTTGCGGCGAGATTTTTTAGTTAATGAAAAAATGAAAAATAAATCGTTTTGGAAAAAAAAACTCGGAAATGCACGGTCAGCGTGTAAAGAGAAAAAGAGAATCAAAAAACTTTTGAATAATATCGTCATGCGTGTTGTATACAGTTATCGAATGCCTAGAACAACGACAATCGATATGAAAATGGCAATAGGTAATAATTAATAATAATAATCTTGTATGTATGCGCGTGTTCAACTTATATGTGTGGCTGGCTGGCGGCAGGTCGTTGTGATGTTCGCAGACTCGACCGGGATAGTGGCCAAGAAACGGTTTTATTCGGTTGTCGTGCTCCCAGAGGATCCCTACCATCGACGCCGCAAAACCCTACTCGTCTGCCGACAGGCGCCTGCACGACCGTTCTAGTAGTGTACGGCTTATTATTATTATTATTATTATTATTTTTCGATATTTTTTTTTTCTGGTTATGAAATATCAAAACATACACCTGACGCGAACACATATAATATACCATATATACGTATAATACTATACGTCTATACATCATTATAAATAGGACTGTTGCTTTCTCGCTGCGCGATATTTATCTCTCCTGCTGCACGGCAATGTTTTATAATTTTTTTTTTTTTTCATACCTATGTGGAACGAATGCGACGTACACCGTATACGCGACTATAAAGTTCAAAATTCTGTTCCGACGACAACCTACAGCTACCTACGTATAATATTAATTATCATAAAATACGTTCGACCGGTAGGTAAATAATATTGTATAGTCGTATACACGACGGTCAACAGCCCCCGGGCACCGAGGTCACCGTACATAATATTATATATTTAATAAAACGCAGTCCGTGAGACTTTTATATATAGACTAAACGTATTATTAATCATGATATTATGTATTCCGATCCCGAGTGAATCCGACGAGAAAATGTCACTTGTTCGCAAGCTCCATGCTCCATTACCGTTCGTCGTCCGGTAATCCGTTGATGTCCGTATTAGTCCGCATTCGTTAACACTTGTGACGATGATGTTCGCGCAGTGGTGAAGCCGTACATTGTATTTGAATTTTACTATAAATTATGTAAATTATTATTAAATGGATAATCAAATAAAATAAAAAATTGAATAAAATATATATTTATGACGTTAGGTATCATTACTACACATAAAAATAATGATAGTGATTTTTATGTATAAATATCGAACATAGGTACTTCATACAATGATAACATAAGTATAATATGCAATAGATTTTTCAATGTTTTAAATTATTTACCGATCTCTATAAAAATTTCGATTAAAAATTATGGAATACACAATTAGTATAATATAATTAGTGTTAAGTATTCTATAGTAGAGACGTGTTGTGATAACAGCTCTCATACATCGTCGTTGATTCTAAACCAAAAAATAAGGATGTCACTTTGCTGTATATAAGATGTCATAATAGATGTGTTAAATTTAAACTAAATGATAAATCATTCTTATTAACCTATATTTCTAAGGACCTGTTAACCTATTAGACATTTAAAAATAAATAAATAAATAAACTCTTTCAGATGAAAGTTTTGAAAATGGATGGTTGCTTTCCACAAATGATCCATTTGTTATGTACAAGTAATAATAAATTTATTGTTTTTTTTTATTTATTATTTTATTACCCTGTATAAATGTATTTTTTTATCACATTTACTCGTTGTACCATTAGGCACAGATTATAAATTTCATTTAAAAATAAAAATAGGTATAAATATAATATATATATATATAAACCTATAAAACCTATAAAGATATTTTAATATATATTTATAATTTTATAATGCTATTAGTAATAAATTAGATAACCAATTTTTGCCAAAAATAAATCGCATACATTATGTAATTATTATTTTAATATTATTTCATATATTATATCATTAGGTAGTTGTTAGTAACATAAACAGACGTACCTACTTACCATACTATAATACTACATTAAATGATAATTATAAGTTCGAACGTTGTATAAATAGACAATAGCTTAAAATCAATACAATTATTTTTTAAATATATTTTTTGTGTGTAGTAAAATATAATAATAAACACACGATTTTCAAGTCCCTTTGAATTACAAAAAAATAACTGAATAAATTATTTATCATTTGAATATCAAATTTTGAAAAAATTTTAAATTGAAAAATATATAAGAAAATTGTCATTTTAGGAAAGAATAACTCAAAATAGAAATCTTTTATTTAAATAATATGCTTTAATTATTAAAATTGAATGTTTTATACATTTTTAACAATAAAATAGTTGGCAAATGTCCGTATTTTTGCCGAATTTGAAATCCTAACAGTTAGTTATAAAAAAACAATTATGCATATGATTTTAAATATTTTTTATTTCCTAAAAAACCCATGTAAGAGATTGTATTACACTTTAAAGATTTTAGATCTAATTTAAAATTTATATTCAAGATTTTTTTTTTAAATAAGTTAAAAATTTAAAATTTAAATATTTTTATCAAGTTTTTTTAATTACATAAAAGAAAAATAATAAGTATATATAAATCTTAATATACTACAAAAAAAACCTATAATTTTGAAAACAAAAATGTTAATTGTTATTAAATATTATTACTTATATATATATAATAGCTTTTTGGTATATAATTTAAATATTTTCAAATTACATTAATAAATTAGAACAATATTTTGAATAATTAATTAAAAATTGTATTTAAAGTCTTTAAAATCAATTTTAATGAAATAAATCAGTTAAATATTTTAAGTTAAAAAGTGTTTATTTGCAATAAATGATCTGTTAAACAAAAATTATGGTATCATGTAAATAATATAGATTAAATATTCACGTGCATCACGAAGATTCAAATTGATCTTCCAAGATAAATTTATTTGAAAGCTTGATGTCCTATTGAAATGAATCATAAAAATTCAAAAAAGCTTTATAAAAAACTTTTGAAAATGAACGCCAATAAAATTTTATGGTGCTCTAAAAACGTTCTATAAACCAAGATAAAAATAATTTTTACAAAATTAATACTAAAGAAAAACTTTACGATCGAAAAATTGTGATGTCGAAGTAAAGCATATCTATAAAGAAAAATTACTACCAGCAAAAATTAAGCAGCACTCTAATAACTGCTGCATTGAGTTGTATATAAATTATAAACTGAAATTTAAAAGTTACAATTCGCAGATTAAAATTTTACTTTAATATTAATTTAAGTATATCACAATACACAACATTATAATGAGTAATTAAAAGATTACATTTTTCAACAGGTTTGTGAAGTCATGACTAGGTATAGCGATGACACGTACATCACTAATCCATACCAATATAAGCTATAATATATTTTAATGCTCAATCAATGCTTTCATAACGCTATCCATAAGTATCTGTATCAAAAATTCAATTAGTGTTCAATTGAAAATGGGCGTAATTACAACTAATTAATTACATGTTTGCTGGTTTAAAAAAAATATCGTATGGTTTTTGTATTTGATTATTGTTAGTTTTTATAATGTCAACAGTATACTGTTTAAATGTATAGTAATTAGTAAGTATATATATAGGAACCATAAGGTTAGTGACAGGTCACACGTCGGATTAAAAATTCATCTGTAGGTCGCACGTCGTTCCCGCTAACTATACGCGTACATGTCTTTTATCGATACAATAAATATTACAACCATAGTGTAATTGATAATAAATAATTATTAATTAAAATATAGTTTGACATTATCACCACGGTATGTAATGGTATTGTGAAATGTAATCCTGAAGGTGTTAAATGTTAATAAGGGATCAACGACCGATTTCGTAGTGTAACACTATACTTTTATGTATAGACACACAAGAGTGTATCAGACGATACGTTATAGTAAATGAGAAGGATGAAGATGTGACTGTATATTATGATTACAAGAAAAACGCAAACAGTGCACGTATATCTTTACGTCTTAATAAATCTAATTTATATATATATATCATATATAAGAAACGATCTCGTGCAAGAAATAGGTCTGCGATAATTTGTTTCGTTGCATAAGTCCTCCGCCTGCCGCCCGGAGGCGCGGATTGACGCCGATCCTGGTTTATAATTATTATAAGTGTGTATATGTATATAATATATAATATACGATCGTTTGAAAACACAACCTCTCATTCTCATGGCGCTTCCAATGACGGTAACGATGCGATCGTGTGTAATACTCGTAATAGTATTATTATTATTATTATTATTATTATTATTATTGTGCCAATATTATATACACATCGCCTGTACAAAACAACCGCCAGCAAGAAACTCGTACGTCGAATGTCCAAATAACGCGCGCTCATACCAAATACCAAATAAGTAACGTGGTAAATATTACTTTAATACGTCATTGCGGTGTATAATACAGATGTCAGACGCAAAAATGTATTCGCTCTGACTGAGATGCGTGAACGACGCGTATATTATAATAATCTATCGCTGATTCTGAACAGCGTAGTCGTCCGTGACAAATTTAATGCACATGGATTTACTCCATTTTTGATTCCGCTAAATTTAAACGGCACAGATGTTTTTACACAGTCAATTGGTTATTTTTTTTTCACCAAAAGTATAAAATACAAGTCTAAAATTAAATCCTATCATAGTACCTAACTATTTCATAGTCTGTAACACTTAGACATTACGGGTCTTACTGACACTACCGACGGACATTTTTCGAAAATCGGTCGAACACTGTAGATTTGCAAAACGATTCGTTTTAAGTCTTTGATTTTTGTTAACCACGTACAGACTTAATACAAATAAACAAAAAATATTCGTTTTTCATAATTTAACAAATTCCCAGTGAGCATTTCCTTTTTTCCTTTATAATTTGCAAAATTTAAAAATTTAGTTTCGAAGTGCGCATTTTCGGGTATGAGATTACCTATAGTACGTACACAATTTCAGAGCCATGATCGCTACATACCACATACGCTAATACACACACACACTCACAGACGACACAAACATTGCCTTTTATTGATGTATGAGATATAATGTGTCTATACTGACATCGGACAGTTATATTATGTAACAACATAAACTGCAAAACCGAGTTCACAGCTACTACGTTGTCAATCGTGTCGTGCAGTCTAAAAGTCGAGTTCGGTCCGACTCTGGAAATTTACCAGTAAATCATTGTAAATGAATGTTACCATGTTAGCGACGAATGTGATAAAGGCACATACCGTTATGTGGTACGCAGTATACAGTCCTACTTAGGAAAAAGATTTGCCAGATTTTTCGTCGT